GTCCCCAGCCAGCAGGAATGGAGCCTCTGAAGTGATATTCCACGGCGTTAACTTGGGCTGCTCAGACTGTTAATTAACTCTGCTTTAATGAATTTCCTATCTTTAGCATTGATACCTACAACTGAACTCTTGGATTGCACTCCATATGGGAAGGTTTAGTTACATTTTGTGGCTGAAGTAGTGTCCTTGTTCCACACAGCTGTGACATTAGAAATAACAGGACATTATTAGTCACTCTTTGTCCCCTCTAACACTGAGACTTTCCCACATGAAGTTAAAAGAGGCACATGGCTGTTGGGAATACCAGCAGAGGGGTCCTGGTGGTGCGGGGCTGCTCTGGTGTGGGTTTTTCAGCTCGCTGGAGATCTCTGGGATGCACCAGGCATTATCTGGGAGGCAGGGCTGGGGCTGCAGCATTCCCATGATGTCAGAGCCGAGCTGTTTGTGTTTGAGTAGCGTCAGGCACGGAGACAATGCAGGCTTCTCACATGAACTTGCTTACTCTACAGTACTACTAAATCATGATTACCAAAGCGTTGTGTGTTTTCAATCATCAAAGTACTTAAAATATTATAATAATGCTTGGCACTTTTCAACTTCAAAGCATGCTGCAAACAGTAATTAGGTCTAATAACCCTGCTGTGACAGTGAGACATTCCTATCTCCTGTCTTACAGGGCGAGGGGGGTGGCAGCCCCTGATCCGGTTGCATCCATCCTGTGTGAGACAGGAGATCTTCCACTGAAGGCTGTGATTGATAAACTGACCTCCCCACAGGCAAATACGGCCAGCAGCAGCAGGGAGGGCTCAGAAGATGCTTTCCAAGCTAGAGGGGAGGGGGCAGGACACTTCCAGTGCTCTTTTGGGCCATGTCCCCAAGACTGTAAAACCTGGCCTCATTCACATTTTGTTCTGTGGAGTGCTGGAGCAGCATTTGAAACAGCACTGGAAAAAAGTTTTTACTCTGTCTTGGCTTCCTGGCTGGTGTTTTTTCAGCACCCAGCAAAGCATTGTGGAGACTGGGAAGAATACTTGTGGACAGCCTGTGTCAACTGGGGGTCATTTTTCCTTCTGCAAGCTGTCTTTGAGTTGTTCCTTTGATAAAGGGTCAGCTCTCCCATTCCTTCCTTTTAGTTATGGCATGTAGGAGATAAAAATTGTGCAGGAAGTAATCGATAAATTTAAATAACAGAGACTTATAAACTGGTTACATGTCCAAACTACTGTTAAACACTTAGAGACACTTAAGTTCTGCTTTAATGGGTTTTTTTAAGAGTTCCACAAACCTGCATTCTTTTGGATATTTGTCATGTTGGTTGCAGTCACCAGTTGTGATCAGTCCTTGGGATGGAGTCATTTCTAGCTTTCATTTAATTATCTGCTAGATTATCTGTGAATGTTTGCTGGAGTGTTTTGAGGTCTCTGCCTCGCACCCGGGGTGGTGGAGCTCCCTTGGCCCGGGGCAAGGTGCGGGTGGCAGGCAATGGAAGTTACCTGTTTGTCACTGGCAGTGCAGAAGCTCTGTGTTCTGCGGGAAAACAAGGCTGAAGAGCACTCGGGGGAGAAGGGGCTTCCCCCAGAAGCTGCTGCTGGTGTCAGGAGCCTGCCCGCAGCCGGGGGCTCCCCCTGTGCGCTCCCTGTTCCGCTGCTGCTGCAAACTGGTCTGACAGGGCAGGCACGCCAGGGTGGGAATCCAGCAGGAGGAGCGAGCAAGCGCAGGGCTTGTGAAAGCCCACACTGCTGAACCCTGCGCCGGGCTGCTCATTGTTATTCTAATGAGCCGCCAGCAAGTTGCATCAAGTTTTGTCAGAAGCTCTTGACTTTTTTTTGTTTCAATATTATGAAAGCAAATAGTAACCAGGCTTGGCTAGACGCAGTCATTCAAAGGAAGGCCAAGCAGCAGGGCCTGCGTGCCAGTGGGCAGGGTGATGTTACCTTCCCTGGCTGGCCAGGTGCTGGGCTCAGCTGGCTAAAGGAACGTCACGGGGGTTAAACTCGTAACTTCTGCCTAATTGACAGTGACAGATTACAGCTACACAGAACAGGCTGGTGCTGTGCAGGTCCCCCAGTTGCTCCAGGACCTTGAGAGGTGAAGCACCCTTGTCCAGCACCTGGAGCTGGGGGCAGGCATCCCAACATCCCAGCATCCCAGCATCAAGGTGTTGCACCCACCCTGCTGCCCTGGGGCTGGGGGCACCAGCACTGCCTCTCCTCAGGATTCCTGTTCCCCTGGCTGCAGTTTGCACATCCTGCCCAGGCACTCTGAGGGTGGTGTTTGACCATGTTCAGTGCTGTCATTTAGTCAACCCTTCTGGAGGGCAGTGGAATGTCCACTTTTGCCTTTATTTCTAAAATGCACAATGTAGAAGCCAATATAGGCATCCATGGTTGTTTGAGTGATAACTTGCTGTTTCTTGTTTATGAGATAATTATTGTACAGTCCCTGAATGAAACTCTTCTAAGGTAAAAGGCCTGTCAATCTTATTAATCATTGCTAGTAATAGTCATTATCATGTGAGCAAGCTGCTTGCCTGCTTTATGAGTTTGGGCAAGTCAGTTCCCTAATAGGTGTCTTGTATTTTCAGCTGAAAAAGGGGGAAATGGTATTTTCCCTCAGTTCTGAAAGGTGTTGTGCTGGGAGTGCAGTGTGGTGCAGAGGTGGCAGGTGTAGGGCAGGGAGAGCAGCTCTGTGTGCTGGGCAGGGGGGCTCAGGGTGGGCTGGGGACAGGGATCCCACCAGTGCAGGGCTGATGGGGACACTCACAATGGGGCCAGGCACAGGGCAGGCAGCTGCCAGGTGCAGCTGACACCTGATGTGTCTGAGAGGCACTCCTGAGCACTGGCTTTGCCTTGCTGGTTTGGATCAGAGGCTTCCCACTCCATCCCAGCCCTGGAAGGCACTGACCCCACTGGCTCCATGCTGTGCCAAGGAACGAACAAGAGCAGAATTTGTGCCGTTCCTATCAACCTCAGCACTGGCAGGCTGGGCTACAGAGTGGGGTGTTGGGGTCCTCCTGCCCCTTCTGCAGTGCTCAGGAGATGCTGGTGCCTCCCTGTTGCTCTCCTGCAGAGATCCCTCCAGCAGCCAGTGCTGGGATTTGTCCCAGATCAGCCCTGCTGCTTTCTCAGCACGGTGGGTGTGTGCTGGGGTGATGGGCAGTGCTCCTTCCCCAGCAACAAACATCCAGCTCTGGCTGAGCACGGGGCAAGAGCTGCACCAGCACATCCAAGGCAGGTCCCTCTCCTGGGTGGACACTTGATCTCCACCAGCTAAACACAAGTTGTGTGTCAAGGCTGGATCTGACTGACATGGCATGTCCTTTACAAAGCCATTCTGGCCTCTTCCCTTTTTTCATTTCATTCCATGTACTGGAGAGGTTTAAAAACAGCTAGGCTAGATGTGGTTGCTCCTGCATTGGTTGAGAGAGGCCCCAAGGTCCCCTGACTGCTGTCCCAGCCCTGTGCCTTGTTCAGGGATGGCCCAGTTTTACCTAAGACTCTCAGAGGGGACGAGCGTGTTGCCCACGTCACCAGGGTCCTGGTCCCCACCAGAGCCACCAGGCAGCTGGAAAGACAAACAAGAGCTGACTCCACCTCCAGCAGTATGGAGACAGCAGCCCTGAGATCTTCAGCCCAAGAATGTGCACACAAAAGAAGCATTTCCCTCAGCCACGACAGTAAAACCACCAGACAACCACATGCAGCATGTGATTTCCCAAAAGCATCAGCCCAGATCCCAACTCCCTTGTGCCACTCACTGTTTCCCAGGATCACATCACAGTGGCAATGTGTAAAAGGCACTTCCAAACAGTGAAAATTAATCATATTTTCCTCAACGTTGTTTATGGAAACGGTGGAGAGCACTCCTGGCCCTGGCTCAGCGTGCCAGCCCTGGGCGTCAAACCCTCCACGGAGGTGGGTGGTGTTCCTGGAGCTGCAGGACACATCCAGGCTGATTCCATGGAGTGAAGCTGTGCCAGTGACCTGGGATCTGTGAATTCTCTTGCCCTCTCCCCTGCCTGGTGTCGCTGCTGGCACAGCCTGGGGCAGCTGCTGTCCCTCTGCTGCCGAGGGCTGCTCAGAGCTCCCGGGAGCTTTGGCCACTGGGACCCTGGCAGAGTGGGAGTGGGGTGAGCTGGAATTAGTGTGCTTTCCCTTCTCCCTCTCTGGTTTTACACTGGAAGCAGCAGTGCCCACAACAGAGCAGCTCTGATCTGCTGTATCTACAAACTGATTGTGCTTGGTGGTTCTTGAATTCCTGGTTTGAACCCTTTCTGTTGGTACTCTCTGGAGTCTGCTGTGCATTTCTGCATTGTAAAGGGAGCCACCAGTTAATGACTATCACAGGCTTTGTCAGTCAAAGGGAGCCATCAGTTAATGACTGTCACAGGCTTTGTCAGTCCAGTTCCACATCAGCTAATGAAATGGCAAATGTCAAAACTTGAATACAAAATGTCTTGTTTTCTGTGTGATTTTATTGCCTTCCCTCCATCATGTGTGCCTTGTACTGCTTTAGTGTTGCAGACCTGCTGTGGCATTGATTATTAATGTTTTTGAGGGTGGCAGGAACATCCATATGCAGTATCCTTTGTGTAGTCCTTTAGAGACAAATGCTGCTGCTGTTGATTGCAGTGGATGTGAGCCTGCTGGATTTTACCTGTCAAGGAAATTGTCTCAATTTGCAAAGGAGCCTTTTTCCCCAAATCAGTTTTCAGCTTGGATTGCGAGTTTTTCAGGAATTGTTATCAGCTGGGTTCCATAACCTGCACTTAAAGGAACATTTAGTAGGTACCTAAGGCAAGGTTTGGTACCTGATTTGGTAAGGCCAGATAGAGCCAAGGGTCTGATCCTCAGCCCTGGCTCTGGATGGGCCCTCCAGGGAAGAGAGGGGCCAGGAACAGACCCCACAGAAGGTTCAGGGGGTGTGCTTTTCACTTTGCATCCTGAACACCTGGGTTTGGGGATGAAGAACAAAATTCTGATGGTCCTGTGTTTTAACAGGGAGAAGACTACGAGGAAAAGCATTCTACAATGTCAATGGCAAGGTGTACTGTGAAGAAGACTTCCTAGTAAGTAAGATTTCAGGCATTTTTTTTTATTCTTTCTAAAGCAAAAGGTTCTTTTTTGGGGATGAAGAACAAAATTCTGATGGTCCTGTGTTTTAACAGGGAGAAGACTACGAGGAAAAGCATTCTACAATGTCAATGGCAAGGTGTACTGTGAAGAAGACTTCCTAGTAAGTAAGATTTCAGGCATTTTTTTTTATTCTTTCTAAAGAATATTCTTTCTATGTTGGCTGCTTTGCTTTGAGAGACAGTTGATGATGTGAGGCCTCCTGGCAGTGGTGGAATGGGAAGCATCTGCCACTGACTCCTTGGTTTGAGGTGGTGGCTGTAAAACCAAGAACATAACTGTCCATAAGCCATCAGAAAGGGTAAATTATGAGAATGAACACTGGAGCTGCTCAGGCTTGGCACTTGAATTGCAGCCACAGAGACTCTCCTGCCAAGGCTGAGCTCGAAGTCAAACATCTGGGGAATACCAGTCCTGAGAGGAGGGAGAGGTTTGTGCCAGGCTGTGCAGAGTTGCTTTGGTGAGGCACAGTTTAATCACTGCTCTGCTCTGGGGCTGACTGGTGATTAGTGGGAACTGCTGGCCATGGAGGGGCAGCTCAGGTTCTCTCCCTGCTCACAGAGCTTTTGTAAATGCTTTACTTTAACAGAGTCTAAGTCAGGAAAGGAAAAATGAAGCCTGTTGCTGAGCTGTGTTGTTCCAAAAATATAATATTCATGCAATTAAGGGTGAGAATTGTGCAGTGCACCGCAAATGATTCGATAAGTGCAGAACATTTAGAATTAAGATGAAGAGGATGGCATGGCTGGGAATTGCAATTAGAGAGCAATGATATATTTTAGCTTAGAGGAAGATGAATTGGACAATCAGTATGTTGAATTTATGCCACCTTATTTATTGAAATACCATTAATTTAGAAGCTTGGGTCTTCCAGAACGACTTTGCATTTCTAATGAATATATAATCATGCTGTTTGCAAAGGAATTATTCAAAGTATATCCCACAACAAAATTGTTGCTGGCAGTTCAAAGTGCACAAATGCATTTCTCATCAATGCAATCTATAAAACATCATGGAAATCCCTAAAATATAAGCTATATTTGCCTTCATGTGTTACATCTTTACTGTGAGCTGGAGCCTATTGGAAAAGAAACCAAAATGTGTTTTGTGCAGAAAATAAGTATCTTGTTATAATTGAAACTTGTTATTGTTTTGCTTGTATTCTGGAGAGAAAATTCTTTTTTCTTCCTTGCTTTTTTCAGCTCTTTCTTTACTGTGCTTCTGCAGAAGCACAGGGAGGGGGAGAGGAGATGGAGTGTGAGAGGGAGGGGCTCAAACCTTCCAGATTTTTTATTTGAACTGTGTTGGAATGTACTTTCCCTGTGATCAAAACCTTTCATCCAGACTTAATGACATGATTGTTGTTATTAGCTTGTAATTTCAGCCTAAACACAAGAATTTTAAATGTAAAAATCTTAATCTTTTGGAGAACATTCAGTTTTCCTGGGCGGGGGGGGAACTCTTTAGTTCAGGCATGTTCTGTAGTGGGTTTCTGAAGGAAGATACTTGCAGAGATTTTCCCAGGAAAACTGAGATTAAAGACCTGATAGGAATAAACTTTCTGCAAGTTAGGGAACTGCTGGGACATTTAAGGCACAGAGTTAAAAGCCCAGGCTTCCCACAGGTGTGTTTTAGCAGATTCCCAATAGCAGAGGGATGGGGGAGAAGCAGATGAAGGGACACTGTGTAAGTCAGCAAAGAAACCAAATTCTGACATGGTCCCTGCTTATGGTAATCTTACTGCTTCTCAGGAAGTAACTGCATCTTCTCTCAGCTCCCCTGAGCAAAAGTCATGGCAAGAATCCTAACAATTGCATGGTATCACTAATGAAATCAAACAACCTTGCCTATTTTAGAGTTCTGTGAACAGGGAAAGCACAAAGCTTTTCTCAAAGTTGAAAGGAAACAGGCTGCAAAATAGCCATTAAAGAGGAAATTATTTTAACTACTTCATCTTCTCAGGTCTTCCTCTTGAACACTGGGAAACCCAATTCTTTCTAAGAAGAGGCAAAGCAGAAAATGAAATGCCTTTTCTGTATGACTGAGAATTTTGGTCTCTACCATGACTCCAGTTCTTTAGTGCAGATCCATTACAGTGCAGCAGGATTCCCTGCTGACACCATGGTAGTGGAATGTTAGGGAAGTTAAGGCAGGGGGATAAGAAAAAGATTATTTCAGTTTGGGAATGTAAACAGATCCAGTCTAACTGCATTATAATTGTATTGCTGCTAAGAAAATGCTGCCTGCCATGGTGTCCTTCCTCTTTCTTGGCTTTTGTTTGTCTGGGAATTGATCAGGAGACTCAGATGCTCCTGTTGGCCTGGGAGCAGGGTCACAGCTCTGTGGATTTGCAGCCCCACAGGCTGTGACCAGGTTATTTCAAACATGGCAAGGGTTAGAAAGCAGAGCAGCTTCAGCAGGCATGGGCAGGAGGTGCAGTGCTGTCCCGTGGGGACACTGGTGACAGGCAGTGACCCTGGGCTGTGTGTGCCTCCTGATCCCTCCAGGGGTTCCCAGGCTCAGACTGGGAGGTCGATGTTCCTTGCTCAGGGTGCCACCGAGGCAGCAGTGCCCAAATGAGCCCCTTGTGCCTCCAGCAAGAGGCATCCCGAGGGGAAGCTGCTGTGCTGCCAGCGGGGCACAGAGGTGGTGGCACCTGGAGCCTCCCTGGGAGCCTGTCCCCTTCCCAGGGAGGGCTGTCATTCCTGCAGAGCTCTGTCCACCCCCCTGCTGCCCCTGTTGATCCCATTCATTGCTGCAGATGCTTCTTCCCTGTCATCCCTGGAGGCACACTGGCTGTGTCCTGCAGGCCAGGCCAGGCAGGACACACTGATTTTGGGCTGCAGTGAGTAGCACCTGCACAGTGATGGGCAGAAAAGCTGAAATGGCTTTTGTTGTGAATGAATGCAGAAAATTTTAGTGAAGAATGGATATTACTTATGGGTTTCTTCCCATTGTAGCTGCTGGAAATATTGAACATCCTATAGATGTCAGTATTTTATTTCTCCTGCAATACCACATTTTGCTGTGCCAGACCAGCTCCTGCTGGGGCAGTCTGCAGAGCTGCAGTCAGTGACTCAGATGGGATACCTGGTTCTTTAACTACTACTCACCCCTGACAAATCAGCTCTTCCACTCAGTCAGAGCGTGTGGAATCCACTGCAGTCTCACCTGTGGACCCTGAAGCCGAGACCTTGAAAAACCCATTTTTTGATCCTTTCAGATGTTTGGCTCTTGGAAGAGCCCTCCTTGGCTGAAGTGTCCCCCTCGAGGTGCAGCCAGTGCTGGGTCCCGCTGCTCCAGGGGTCTCTTCTCTTCCATTTTCACTCTGGCCATGGCTGCTGTGCAGGTGGCATTGGAGCAGAGCACAGCTGTCACTTGGAGCACAGCGAGTGCCTGAGAGCTTTGGCTGCTGAGTGCTTCCAAAGCACCAGTCAGTAAAAGTGTGGTGTGAGGAGCTGCTGGCATCAAACTTCCCAGATCTGCTCCTCTCTTGGAAAAGTGCTTTTGATTTGTGGACACAGGCCAGGGGTGAGCTGGTGCTCCTGGTGAGCGCTGTGAGGCTGCCCCAGGGCACCCTGCCTGCCCTGCCAGGGCCACAAGGTCCTGCAATCCTCCTGGCAAAGAGTTCTCCCACGTGTTTGCTCTTACTGAGGGCACAGTCTCCACACCAGGTGGTTTATTTTGCTCTTTCTTTGCAGGGAAGAAGTGTCAGAAGGTTTTGCCCCACTTGTGCAGTTGTTGGTGGGCAAGGGATGCTGGGGTTCCCCTGCACCTGGAGGGCTGGAACACCTCTGCCTCCCAGGGTTATTTCTGTCAGCCTCCTGCTGCCAGCCCTGATCAGCTGCACATTCTCTCAGTGCTTAAAGCCTTATTGGCTAATTGAATGAAGTGAATGAATCAGATTTAAAAAATAAATACATGGATAATTCTACTTCTGCCTAGGAGATTGCCTGATCTGTGCCATTTACAGGAGGATACTGCATGTGTGAGGAGCAAAAAGAACAAAAACAGTCCCCCACACTACATTGCTTTGGTTTAGCTCTAGGGAAGATCCAGTTACTCCTTTAAATGCCACCTTAAAGTAACAAGTCCAGCAATATCCAAGTCTTGTCCCAGCCCTGTTAGGAGCTGTTATTTCATGAAAGGAAATAAAACAAATGACAGTTTAATCCTTTCCTGAAAGCTCTTTGGACACAGATGGCTAACTAGCCATAACAGAGACACTGTTCCTGGTGAAGTGAACAAAAAATAAATGCCTTACTGTATAATAAATAATCCCAGTCAGATGTTCGTGTTTCATTTTGTTGATAAATTGCTGCATAATCATGGGTGAAGGAAAAATAATTTTAATTTGTCTTGCCTTTTCTATGCTTAAATATCACCTAAAGAAATTTTTTTTTTAAATACTGTTTTGCTTGGCAAGAAACACTTTAAAAATGTCACCAAAGCAGCCTGAATCTTAGATCTGCTATCTATCTCTTTGCTTTTTTCCCTCTCTTTGATAGGCTTTCCCTTCTTCTCTTGAGGTAATGAACATTATTGAGTAGGGGTCCAGCAGAGGTTAAGAAATGAGAGAATTTCCCTCGAGGGAGGAGATGAGAGGGAAAATGAACCTCGTGACAGATGTTAGTTACATTGCTTAATGCACTACTGGAAGAGGCTCAGATGCTCTGGAAATAACCTATTACAGACACCACAGGCTGCAGTGCATTGCAGTAAGGTCATCCGAAACGTCCCCTTTTAAGATTTTCTCTTTCACTGTCTTAAAACTTTGCCAAATTTAATCATTTAGGCTGAACTTCTCCATGCTAGGTTTTTGCCTCTGGCTGACTTTGCTGTCATTAGTTGTTGAAAGTTTCATCTAGAGCTGTTCATCCATTTCAGTGAGTAAGACTGGAGGAACTCTGCCCATAAATCCTCAAAGAGAAAGGCT